AGGTAGAGCCTCTACATCTTTTGATTAACCTTTTCCAGAGTTATGAATTGATTTTGCATCCCTGGATTCTGAGTTAGGTCATCCATGTGATTTGCTTTGGTCAGTGGTTGTTAGGAAAGCAGAGATTCTTCAACAAGCTTTTCCAAGTTCCTCTAACTTACTCTACTTTCCCTCTGCCCTTGCTTTGAAAATATGCCCAGACTAGCAAACTAAAGGACAAAGATTATAGAATAGAGCCAAGTAACCCCAGTTATCCAAACTAAAACCACCACAGCCCAACTTCCAGTCAACTGACCACAGATTTGTGAGTTCAGCTCAACCTGGTTGAAATCACTCTCCTATAGACTCATGAGTTAAATTAATACATGTTGTTTTGAACCACTGAGATTTGACAATGGGTAACATTTGAGGTCAGTAGATTAGTGTATAGGGGCTTTATTTTAAAAACCAGTGAGAAGTATAACAGATACCACCTAAACTTGTTTTCCCTGGGGAGAAAATGGAGGATTCTAAAGATCAAAATTTTATGAAATTGTTGATCCTCATCTATAAAAACAATAGGTTATAAATATGAATCTAAGTATGAAAGTAAATACATTTTTAAAAATGAAAAAAAATTAACAGACATCTCAGAAATCTAAATAACTTTCTTTTGAGTAGTTTTGGCATTCTACCAGAAATGGCTGCATAGAAATGCTTTTTACTTGCAATCCTGCTTCCCCTCCCTGCCTAGAACACTATAAACTCCAATACTCAGAGAGGTTCATGTGTATAAAAACCTGAACCTTGAGCTCATTAATTTCACAGTAAATCTGCCTCCCTCTTCATTTATAGTATAATTTATCTACAGAAAAGGTTAAGGAATTATAATAAAACAAGATAGTATTGTAACAATTGCTTTTCTGGTGTTCTCCATGGGTGATTTTAGAGAAAGGAGCAAGTTGGCAAAATTCCTGAGGATACGTAGAATTGTCAGACTTGTGATGGAAGTTAAGTTGAAGAATACCAAGTGAGGTGAAAAGAGTTGCTCTTCTTATGCCATCAGTCCTCCTTTTTTCCAAGCTTCTGGAACTTTTATTATTAAATTTGCTTTTAAAGGATGAACTCCACTGAAGTGTGGAGTTCAAGAAAATGAGTATCTACCAGTGTCACTGGGAGGAATACCTTATTGGACTTTAACAGTGTACTAAATACTTATTGACATTTATGTAAAAAGGCAAATGTGCCCCTTTAAAAAATCCAAAGTATTATTTTTACCATGTGCCTCCCTAATTTCAGTTCTATATGTCACCCAGGTAGGATGAGATATTCAGACTAAAGAAAACACTTCCTAACTGAAAATGTCAAAATCATTAGCTTGATTTGCATGAGTAAATGGAAGTACAAAGCTGAGCCCTTATTGATTCGATTATCAGCAGTTAGATTGTTGATTAATGAAGTTTTTTTTTTATCTCCACATCTTCCATTTAGTAGTTCCTAAACTTATTCTCTCAACCATTTGCTATGGGTATCAAAATGTGACTTACAAAATTATCTGAAAAGAAATTTTGAGTTGCCTTTTTAATGAAATCATTTTGTTTTTTTTTTCTTGCATATAATAAGGCAGGTATTCCTTATTAAAATAAGTGCCTTTCAGAAATATGATATGAAGAACACAAAACAAGCCAATATTTCAAATCTTACTAACAACTGCAACTGTGATATATTTACTAATGTGTGGAAACTTTAAAAATCTTACTTTTTCTCATATGAGTTTAGTAAGATACATAAAGTAAAAAAACAAAAAAGATAAAGTGCTCATTAAATTGTCTTATAAATTTTTCAAAAGAGATTAAAATGAATAACCTAATTTGAATCTCAGAATAGTTTTGGTGTGCATTAGAAAGTATTTACATACTTATCACTTTTCTGGTAAAAGAGATTATCAATTGCTCTCAACATAAAAAGAATTAGTGAAGTAGATCTGGTTTGACTTATTTTACGTTGTGTATAATTAGGTAACCTATGATTACAAGTCACTTAGGAGTATAACTGTAAATATGGGATAACTTATGCAGTAGTTAATAACAACTCCATTTCTCAGCGGATTTCTCATTCACCCAACATATCCAGTACCATTTTTCAGGAGCATTATTCCTTTTTTTTTTTTTTAAAGATTTATTTATTTATTTATACAAGCACTGGGTACTGTCAGAAGCACGGGAGGGTGAGAGAATTCACCAGAGCCAGAGCGGGGAGCAGAACAGGCAGACTGACAAAATACACTGCTGAGGGGAGCAGCGGGTGCGGCAGGAGAGGTCTGCAAGCTATGTGGGAACCTCGCCCGGCAGCCAGGGATCGAACTGGTGCTGCAGAGGCTGCAGGCAGCTTTGCAGCCCAGCACTCAACCGCTTTGCCACCGGGGAGGCCCAGGGGCATTATTTCTTAAGGTCAGTAAGGGACAGAAGCTGAGGTTAACACCACTATTTTCTAACACCTATCAGCCAAGGCTTCAAGATTTGCCATGGGGAAAGGGAACAAAGAACATCAATCATATTGTGCTCATAAGTCAGGTCCAACTATGAGAATAATTAGTGTAGTTCTCCCAGAAAGAATGGGGACCAGGGGCCTCTCTAGTGGCCTATGGGTTAAGTCAGTGCTATCACTACCAAGACCTGAGTTCTATTCCCAGCCAGGGAGCTAACACACATACAGTGTAGCAGACCTCTCCTGTCTTGCCCGCTGCTCCTTTAGTAGTATATTTCAGTGAATCTACCTATTCTGCTCCCCATTCTGTCTCTGGTGAATCCTCTTAACCCCCACACCTCTGACCTAGACCCTAGTTCTACTATGCAAAATTAATAAAGAATTAAAAACAATAGGGGACAGGAGAATTAGTGATTTCACCCTCAAGATTGCAATTCATATCTTTCCTCTTGCCCTCTTATTCTTGTTGGAATAAGTTCCAACAAACTATTTAATAGAACTTCATGTATATGATTACATGCAGAAAGAAAAACCAATCAGACAAATTTAAAACCTCTATGGGTCTTTAAAGCCCACAGAGTCAGTCAATTCGTTATTGTCAATTTTCTCCCCAAACTCAGAAGGTAGAACCCTCCACTACAGCATTGTTCTAAAATAAAGAAATTCTAGCTAATTACATTCATTTTCACTTTTCCATTCCAATAATTGATGGGGATAACTGTGCTGCTATATAAAATAGAGGTTTAAAAATTATTTGCACAATTAGATTATATGAGAAAATGATCAACTGGCAATAAAAGGAGTAAGATGACATCAGGTTGAAGCCTTCAATAATTGTACACTAACAGTTATCTCCTGCATAGTACAATTAATGCTATTCTATGTATAAAGTTGTGTCCAACTTAATCTCCTGAGTATACTGAAGATGATGAAATAGTGGGGTGGTGGAATTATGACAGAATATTT